AGAACTTAGCAGACAGGACCTACACAGAACCTAGAGACAGAAGAACTTCGCTGGAGAGAACATGGCAAAAGATCCTGGACAGAACCTGGCTACAGAACCTGGCTACCGAACCTGGCTGGAGAACCGAGCGAGAGAACATGGCTACAGAACCTGGCTGGAGAACCTGGAGAACCTGGCTGGAGAACCTAGCAAGAGAACATGGACATAGAACTTGGCTGGAGATTGTGGCTAGAGATCCTGGCAAGGCTGCTGATCAACTGAACGCTGTCTCCGTGTCATTCCTTCTTCGCCGACTCCGTCCACACCTTTGGGGAACCCTGGACCTGCTGGGGTTGGACCCCGGCACCTGACAGTACTGAAGAAAACTGAGACAGAAATGTAATTTCATGACTGACAGAGGGATGGGGGGTGAGGGGTTTGGGTGAAAAGGTGAAGGGATTAAGAACCTGTATTGGTAGTTATACAATAGTTACAGAAATGTAAAGTATAGCATAGGGATTATAGTCAATATTATCATAATAACAATGTATGGAGCCAGATGGGTACTTGGAATATTGGAGGGGATGGGAGGACCACTCTGTAAAGTACATGATTGTCTAACCACTATGCCGTACATCTGAAACTAACACAGAATAATATTGAATGTAAACTGTAATTGAAGAAAAAGGACTGACCCTTGTTGTGCTGAAAACTCACGTACAACGTCACCAAGTGTAAGAAAGTTATGGTTGGGGGTCACCACAACATGAGGAACTGTGTTAAAGGGTCGCGGCATTAGGAAGGTTGAGAACCACTGCTCTAACCACTCAAAGATACCAGCCAGCGCCAACATAAATAACTTTTAAAGCACTTAGGAAGGACGAGAACACAGTGTGGTTCTAAAGATATATGTATCCAGTATGTAATGGTGGTTGCAACAAAATACTTTAATTCAATAAAAATTTACCTGACAGTTAAAAGGAAAATTCCTATTGAAATCTTTGAATTTATACTCCTATCTCTCTAGTCCATAGATGAAAGTCTAATGATAACTTCAAGTGTGCTGCTCTGGCCGGTGTGGCTCAGTGGTTGAGCCTCACCCTGTGCTTTGAAAAGTTGCCAGTTCCATTCCTGGTCAGGGCTCATGCCCAGGTTGTGAGTTAGATCCCCCCCTAGGAGGTGTGCAGGAGGTCCATCCATGTTTCAGTCACACATCAATGTTTCTCCCTCCCTCTCTCTCTTTTGTTCTCTTCCACTCTAAAAATCAATATTTAAAAATATACATTAAAAAATATTTTCAAGTGTGCTGTTAAATTTGGTAAATGCAAACATTCACCAAATAAGATGCTCTATTTTGGGCAGATTTGCAGAGTTAACTCTGCCCTTGATAGGAAATGCTAGTGGTAGAGTCACTGCATTTTTTGTTCAACAGGTGTAGATTTCTGTTGGCTTTTCACTCTCTACATGCCAATCATCACTCCCTGACCTTGTACATGTCCTATTTGACAGACTACCTAAATTAAATATTGTGCTTCCATCTGTCAAATGCCAAATAACTTAATTATTAGGGGTAGAAATCTATTGTTTCATTAGTTATTTGTCCCTGTTGTTTTCAACCTACTGCTACATGTCTAACTAGGGAGAGGAAAAAATAAGTCTGATAAAGCCAATCTTAGGAAACATGTGAATGTTTTTTTTTTAAATTTTGTTTTTTTATTGATTTGAGAGAGAAAGGGAGAGGGAGAGAAACAGCAGTGATGAGAATCATCGATTGGCTGCCTCCTGCACGCCCCACCCTGGGGATCATGCCTGCAACTCAGGCATGTGCCATCACTGGGAATCGAACCATGACCTCTTGGTTCATAGGTCAATGCTCAACCACCGAGCTACAGCCGGCTGTGCATGTGATTTTTAAAAAAATATATTTTTGTTTATTTCAGAGAGGAAGGGAGAGGGAGAGAAAGACAGAAACATCAATGATGAGAATCATTGATCAGCTGCCTCCTCTGGGGATCGAGCCCGAAACCTGGGCATGTGCTCCTGACGGGAATCAAACCAGGGATCCTTCAGTCTGCAGGCTGATGCTCCATCCACTGAGCAAAACCAGCTAGGGCATGTGATTCTTAAAAGATGGTTAAACGTTATTGGACCAAAGAATGTTGGTAAGTTAGGGGTAACTGTTTCTTTTGCTATGTTCCAAATTGCATTTCAAGAGAACATAGTACTTTTATAGACAAAAATTTCAGATCTTGCATTTTTAAAAAATTACATGTTTATAGTTTTAAAAAATTGTGGTAAAGTACACATAAAATTTATGATCTTAACCACTTTTAAATGTATAGTTCAATAGTGTTAAGAATATTCATTTTTGCTAGAAGAGATCAAGGGGAGAAAAGAAGGGAACATATTCTTTTAACAATAAAGATTTTAAAAAATATTCATTTTTGTGCAAATAATCTTCAGAAGTTTCTCATCTTGCAAAATTGAAAAGCTATACCCATGAAACAACTTCCCATTTCTCCCTCCCTCACACCATGGCAACCACCATTGTATTGTCTCTGAGTTTAGATACCTCATCTAAGTGGAGCATACAGTATTTATCTTTTTGTGATTAGCTTATTTCACTTAGCATGTCTTCAAGGTTCATCCATGTTATAACATGTATCAGAATTTCCTTCCTTTTAAGGTTGAATAACATTCCATTGTATGTTTTGGCTATTGTGGTTGTCTCTATGAGCATTGGTGCATAAATATCTTGGAGACCCTGCTGTCAATTTTTTGAGTATGTACCTAGAATGGGAATTGCTGGACCATATGATAAGTCTATGTTTAATTTTCTGAGGAACCACTATATTGTTTTCAATAGTGGTTGCACTGTTTTACATTCCTACCAGCAATCTATCAGGCTTCCAATCTCTATACATCCTTGCAAACATGTTGTCTTTTTTTGGAAGCCCAAATTTATTTGTTTAAACATGCTCAAGACGCCCTGACCAGTTTGGCTCAGTGGACAGGGCGTTGGCCTGCGGACTGAAGGGTCCTGGGTTCGATTCTGGTCAAGCGCATTTAAAAAAAAATGCTCAAGAGGCTTTAAAAAAGCCCAAAGGTATCCAGGTTTAATTTAAGATCCTCCTGAGGTTTCTCCTTTTGTGAGGCATCAATTTGATTCTTGTTAATGAAATACCTCAATAATTCTAGTTGGATTGTGGAAATCTTCTTGCTACTCCCAGTATCTGTCATAAGTGGCCATCAGGTTACGAACAACAAGAAACGTAATACCAGAAATAATCACAAAACGTCTACAGATTCTACTTGAATATCCTTTCTGCGTTATTCTTTGCAACCAGGCCCAGTGATTATCAATTTGAGTGGCAGAGAGCATAAGTGTCACCTGCAAAGACTGGTATTAAATGTAGCTCTTTCAGAACAGAAACCAGCAAAAACCCTTCAAGATGGAACACCTGCTGTCTTTTTTTTTTCTCTAAATAAAAATAGCCATCCTGAAGGGGGCAAGATAATGATCTCATTGTGGTTTTGATTTGCACTTCCCTGGTGACTATCCATGTGGAACATCTTTTCATATGCTTGTTGCCCTACAAATAATTTTGAAACACAACAAAAGCTACTTTTATATTTTGAAAATAAGCTAACTTTTTAGATCTTGTCTGCCCTTGGGAAAGTCCCTCTCCTCTGTCAACTGGAGAAACGGGTGGGCTACGCTTACAAACCATCCACACAGCAAACTTTCCTTCTAAGACAGCTGCAAAACTGGAAGCACAAAAACTGTAGGTGGTGACAGAAATAACGGTCCTGTTA